TTTGGTTCTGCAACCCAACAAGACAGACACAGAGAGTAATTGGGACTGCAGAAAAAACAATTACTACCAACCTGCCTTCAATCCAGGACCTGTATACTGCACGAGTCAAAAAGAGGGCTGTGAAAATATTTACAGAGTCCTCACATCCCAGACTAAACAATCAACTCCTTCCCTCAAAACGACGCTGTAGAGCATTCCACACCAGAACTAGACACAAGAACAGTTTTCCCCCCAAACACCATCACTCTACTTAACAAATAATTCCAACATTGTCCAACTATTTACAAAGTCTGCACTATTACTATTAAACTTCTCATCACTCCTTATCACCCATCCCCTCCCACTTGTGACTGTATGACTGTAACTTTGTCACTTGTACCCTTACGATCTATATTGACTGTTTCCTAGTATGACTTGATTGCTTATTGTACCCTATGACTATTATTAAGTGTTGTACCTTATGATTCTTGACTCTTGATGAATGTATCTTTTCTTTTATGTACACTGAGAGCATTTGCACCAAGACAAATTCCTTGTGTGTCCAATCACACTTGGCCAATAAAGAATTCTATTCTATGGTTAATACATGGGTGATAGGAGGAAATACCATACTTATTAGAAAGACATGGAAGTAAAACTACAAACACTGTATGGATGAACAGTGTTCCAGTACTTGAGGAGTTCATAGAGGGTTTTAACCTTAGTTTCCAAAGCACTAGAAGACAAGACAAAAAGCCATGGATGGAACTAATCAAGGAGAGAAGCATTGTAGAACTTCCTGTTAAGAGAAACTTTCTAACAGTGAGAATAATTAACGAGTGGAACAACTTGCCTTCAGGAGTTGTAGGTGCTCTTCCACTGGTGGCTTTTAGAAAGAGACTGTCTGAAATGAGCAGGGCGTTGGGACAGAACTTTCAGCTCATTCCACTGATGGCGCCCCCACCATCTCTGGAGAGAAGGCATTCCCAAAGAATCAACCTAAGCAATAGCAATAGCATTTAGACTTATATATCGCTTTACAGCCCTCTCTAAGCGGTTTACAGAGTCAGCATATTGTCCCTAACAATTTGGGTTCCCTGTTTAAATCTTCTCCCCAGCAGAAATCAGCAGCCACCAGTTTCACGGCGTGCAGCCCCAGCGGGCTCCGATCTGGGGAGGGAAGAAACCTGCAGCTGACAAGCTTCAGCCCAGCTGCTTCTCTGCTTCCAAGCCGTGGAGGGAACCGAACAGCCCGACTTGGTCCCGGACTTTCCTCCCACCTGTTGCCTCCAACTCACCCGCCAGCGGCTGCTTCCATCCTGGGAAGAGCACAGAGGCCGCTCTGCACACCATCTTCCTCCCATGAGTCACCCGGAAGAGGAAGTTCGGCTATCCAGAGATGCTTTTATAAAAGGCAACTGGACTTTCTTTCTCCTACTCTTCCCGTCGCCTTCCAAACTTTTCTAGCAGTACACTACTCTATGGCTTTAACTCCTTTAAGGTCAACCACAGAAACCGCCTGCCTTTGCCTGTTTGACTACTATCTCCAGATAGGCAGAAAAACACGCGTGTCCCGTCTTCACCTAAGGCGTTTGCAACATATTTCCACTGATTAAAAGCTATTAAGTCGTTTATGACTTCTACCAACCGACCTTTGCAACTTAGCCTAGTGATATGTGATGCTGCTTAGCTTAACGAATATTAGCTACACGCTGAGCCCTAAAAGTTCGTGAAGGTTTTATAAAATTAGGGGTGACTCTCAGTGGAGATCAAAGCCTCTCTACACCCCAAAGCTTTATGACTGATTTCCTGTGGCTCACTCAACACTCATTGCAACATGCAATTGTAATTCAAGGCCCATAATAGTTGTATCTTGAAGACTACTTTTATGCTGGCTGTGTAATTCAGGGGCTCAAAATCTGGGCCAAACCAAGGTAGAAGATGAAACTCCACATGTGTGAATTACATAATCATAACATAGTGTAAATTCTGTCTTCACAAAGTTACTCTTGCAATCAACAATTCATAAGTAGAAAAATGAATAAAGAGAAAATTCCTTAATTAATTAGGCAATATAGGATCAAATAAACAATTAATAATTAGTCTACAATATTAAACACTTATTTTCTTTAGCTTTAGTTTTTATAAATTATTCCCTTCTTTATAGATATCTATTTCAAAAATGCATAGGTTTTTAAGTGAAATATATTAAATTTTAGCCTTATTTATACTTTCTTTATAGATTAATTAATCACAAAGTCTCAGTCTCCTTCTCTCAGCTCTCTTCTTTCTTCTTTCTTTTTCAAGGTGTCTTCCCTTCTTTCAAAGTGCAAAGTCACTCTGGGTGCAAGTCACCACTTTCACTTCTTATTAAATTCACTCTGTCCCAATCTCTACTCAAAACAGCATGCTGCAGACTTGGGAGATGCTTTCCCTTCATCTCTTTAGTAATGGAGTTTGCATATCTCCCAAGGAGATTTTCTTCAGTCTATGCATTTGGGACTTCTGGGCATAGGAGAGGGTGGGTGACAGTACTCGACGCCTAGGACCAGAGACACAGGTTGTGTTCTCCATTCACTCATGGAAAGTCTCCAGTGATTATCCAGACAGATCACTGAATTTACATCTTGGTTTCTCTACACGCCAGTCCTGATCTGCTCCTGGTCACCACGTATCCTTCAAAGGGATCAGATGCAATGTGACCTAAAAAATTGTAACTTGTCTGTTTGAATTGGGTTGATGAAATGAGCAATCTTGGAATTCTTTGCTGTCTTCCAATCCCAGCAAAATCAGGATAATCTTATCTGCATAGCTACAATATTACTTTTGGTGCTACAAATAATGTTCCTCTCTATATTTGAAGGATAAATATTTGAAAAAAATGAAGGAGCTCTAGGAAAGAAATGAAGAACAGGAAACATCTCCCATGTGTTAGGAACAGAGTGTTGGATTACCCTGTCTCGATCTTTATATAAATGCTGGCACTTTCCTTTTTTCCCCTCAAAATCTACTCATGATTCTTACGCAATGCTGTTTTAGAAATGAAATATAATCTACTGTACACTTTTTAAAAAAAGTATCAGTCCCTTGGTGCTGCTCTCACCCCCCTGCCATCAAAGACTAACAAGGAGGCAGGCACCTCCAAACAAAGGAGATCACAACAGGAGTTTTGAATAAACCTGGAGACTCTGTAGTCAAACTTGCCTCTCCTCTCTCTTCAAGAAAGCAGAACTCTTGAAACAGGAGGGATTTCAAAAGGAAACTTTTATTGAGAAACAGTAATAGTAGAGCAAGGCAGGATCTGAAGTTCCTGCTCAGAACCGTTAGGTTAAAATTTGTAGAAACCCATCCCCTCTGTCCAGTCTAAGGCGAGCCAGTCCACAGGTGCGAAGTTATTGTGAGAACTCAGAGTTGAGAAGGTGGTAAGAAGTTATTCTCAGGTGCTGCTTGCTCGTTCTGTTGGAGCTGAGACAAAACAGATGGCCACAGGCAATTCCTTCCCTCTCCCATTCCCAGGAAAGTACATCAAAGTTGAGAAAAGAACAGAAACGGGAAAAGGTCATAAAATGGCATTCAGGCCCTCCCTGCCAGAATGGCGGTGTCCCGACAGGAATCTATGGGGACCTGACACACAATCTCTTTTCCCAACTCAGTATTCCTACAGCTCTTCTCCATGAAGGTCACTTGAAGGACATAACAGCCTTTACATCTGAAATTTTACACTGCTTTTGTCACTGCCCCAAACTCCTCTAATACATTTGCTATTCATGTGGTTTCTTCCACGTTCGTTTCTCATTCTTGACACAATCTGAGCAGACATGCTTGGTGCAATAAATTTCTGGAATTGTTAGGAAAGAATAAATGTTGATCCCTCTGCAATTGTTAGGAAAAAATGAACAATTTCTCTTCTCCTCTTGTTTTCTTCTTGTATGAGGAGCCACAATCTCTAACTATAGCCTGAGTGCTCTTATTCTGAAGAGATGCTGGCTAAAAAATTCTAGGGATGAAAATATCGAGGATACCCAGGGAGAAAGTAGGGACCCTGCATGTGACATTTATATCATTTATTATGATAAAAATTGAAAGAACTGTTCTGACCAAGACTTATTGAGATACTAACAAACACATTAGTCCCCCAAACCCCTTTTTTTAATTTCAACGGCTGTGAATTTTAGTCATTCACAGCCTGTAATAAGTCTCAAACAGTTTGTAAATAGTCCCATGGAAGTCTGCCAAAGTCCTTCAGGATAAGTCTAATAAGCACGCACCTTTATCTTCCTTGTGAATGCTGCCAACAACTAGATTTCCAATTAGTTATACAAGGCCAAACGGAACACAAATTCAACACAGTGTTTCAGGTTTCAAACCGACCAGTCCAAACAAAGTTGCTTCTTGCAAAGGTTCCTGTCCCTTTGCTCCTCCTTTATGTCTTATGGGAGGGCCAATCACCTCCAAACCTTACTCCCGAGTCACCCCGTTTGTGTTAACTATTCTTGCCTTCTGGCAGCTTTGTGCACATGCACACGGGGAACAGGCTCTCCTTGTTCCTCTGTCTCGCTGCTATCAGATTCTGGAATCCACACATAAACTCCCATATGGCCTTGGCCCCATCTCTGTATCGGATGCAGGACCTTCGTCCGAGTCCTCCCCAGATTCCCAGACTGGCCTATGTTCCTCCCCACTGCCCAACTCTGCCATCTCCGCAGGCTGCCGGCAGACCACAACAAGAACACTCCTAAAAAGATTTTTGCAGAGTTGTCCAATTACTGTAAAAATCAATATCTAGCAACTTCTGCTGCTGACAGCCAAATAGTCCTTATCAAATTAACATGTTCCAATTTTTTTCTTTCCTCCTTCCCATCTAATACTATGACATATTTAATGACAAAAAATCAGGCAAATTCTATATTGTCAAATTAAGGAGTCAATTTATCAGCTGAAACTACAATAGGATATTTCAAATGAAATTCAAGCCTTCTCTACACTCATCACTTTGGGCCTCATGTGGATTTTCTTGTGTGCAATAAGGTTGGAAGGTTTCCTGAAGGACTGTTCACACTCGGGGCACTTAAATGGTTTCTCCCCCGTGTGAATAAGCATATGATTTAGAAGGATATCCTTAGTACTGAAATCTTTCCCACAGTCTGGACACTCATACGGTTTGTCTCCTGTGTGAGTCCTGTGGTGTCTCACAAGGTAGGAACTCTGACTGAAACTTTTCCCACAATAGGGACATTCAAAGGGTTTCTCTCCTGTGTGAGTTCTCTGGTGTCTAACCAGGCTGGAAATCTGACTGAAAGTTTTCCCACAGTCCGGACACTGAAAGGGTTTCTCTCCTGTGTGAATCCTCTGGTGTGTCACCAGGCTGGAATTCTGACTGAAACATTTCCCACAATCGGGACATTTAAAGGGTTTCTCTCCTGTGTGAATCCTCTGGTGGCTAATAA